AACCGAGGCGCGCTGGAGGGACCGTGTCCGGTTTGGCGCCACGCGAGGAAGGGGGTTTTGGGGCAGCTCTTGGACGTGTTCGCGATGATGATGGTCGTGGACCGTCTGCTGGCGCTGCAGAGCCCTTCGTTGGTACCTATGGATGGGCTCGAGCATCTCAGGACACGAAAAGTTCTCGACCTCGAATGCCCGCACGCTGCCCGAGAAACTGTGTTGCGACACCGTCGGCGCCGGGGCTGCGCAGGCTCTGAGATCGTGGGAAAAGTGTGTCCTGAAGGTTTCGAGCCCCCCGCGGGTACCCATAGGGCGCCTCCAACCTCTAAGGACAAGAAAATATCGCACACTCGACTCACACCGCCGCCCTCTCGTCCCGCCGCCGAACAACCGTCGCGCTCGCGAGCCAACGCAATGATCTCAGCAGCCCAAATTCGCTGCCCCGCCCCGTCGAAGGGTTCCGCAGCCGCGCCGCGCCGCGCGACCCGCCATCGTTGCACTCAGCCCGCGCGCTGCGGCGTGGAAGAAGAAAGAAAACGCTAGCGGCGGCCCCGAGTAGTACGAGGACCTCGCGTTTCGCCTGCCACCCCATCTAGATTTATATCCCCTTGGTGGCGGCGGCTCCGCTGAGGCGGATCCCGATGTTTGACCGCGGTTGAACCAGATGTTGCCGCTCGGCCGACCAGAAGTACTCTGCAGTCCGCGCTGGAAAAACAAGCGCTAGAAACCGCTCTCTCGAGCAATGGCATTACGCGGGAGGAGCGCGCGTCCCTCACGGCTCCGGCGCGCACCTGCTGCCCGCGGGATTGCCGCACGCGAACCCCTGGGCCCCCAACCACCCGCAGTGGCCGTTGGGTGGCGGCGCGCCGGGGCAGTACTCGTGGTCCGGGCAGCCGCACTTCGTGAAGTTCGTGTCGTCGTCGCCCATCGGCGCGGCGACGGCCTCGGGCATCTTCACGCACGCGTCGGTGCCGTTGCTCGCGCCGCAGATGTAGCCCGTGCAGCAGGGCGTGCCGCTGATGATGTCGCGGCTGCAGGTCTCGCCCGCGGCGATGCAGGACGTGCAGGTCAGGCCCGGGAGCTCCAGCGCGGGCTGCTGCAGGCCCGGGAGCTCCAGCGCGGGCTGCTGCTCGGCCATGTACTCCCAGCAGCGGAAGGTCTCGCAGCACGGAGGGAGGCTGTCGTCGAGGGCGCAGGTGGCGCCTTCGCTCAGGCACGTCGAATTGCTGCCCCGGAGGCTGAAGCCGGCGGCGACGTGCGGGAGGATCATCAGAAGCTTGGCCATCGTGATCGTCGATAA